CAAAATTGTAAATATAATGACATAATTAAAAGAAATCAATTTCAAAATCAAAATTTTATGGTAATATAGTGACTTTCTTGCAAAAAGACACTTTTCTGCGAAAGAGACTAAAAAAGGTGGGGGTCGAAACAAAAAGACCCTTTTCTACAAAGGGAAAAAATTTCCGTATTTCTATCTATCACAGCTCCATTCCATTATAATATATATATATATATATATATATATATATATATATATATATATATATATATATATATATATTGCTCTTCTATAAGTCTAAAATAAATCATACAACCTTTTAATCATATCATATGATTATATAACTAGCTATACTCTCTAGTTTTTATTATTTTTATGAAACTATAATCCCCCAAATCAATACATGTGTCATATAGTATATATTTTGTAACATCTCGAGTTCAGGGGTGCAAAGTTCGGGGTTTAAAGTGAAAATGTGAATGATCAACTCGGCGAGTCCATGGGTAGACTCGGCGAGTAGGGTCGTGATTCTGGTCGCGTGTCTAGTGGCCAACTCGGCGACTCGGTGGCTGGACTCGGTGAGTTGGTGTTGTGTGGAGAAAAACCTAATCCCAGGGATTTGGCCCTATATAAAGAACATAATACCCTATCCCTAGCTTCTTTGCTCTCCCTTGAAGTCCAGAAACCCTAATAATCGTTGTGAGAGAATTAGAGAACATTTGGATCTTGAAGGAGTGTTTGTTGAAGTGATCTTTGAAGATTAAGAGGCTTGGAGCAAGGGGCTTTTCAAGGTTTTGACTTATTCTTCTGTTGGAGCCTTCTTTTGAGTTAATGATTCATTGCTTGAGCTGTTATCCATCTAGATCTATCATTTGTGGGATTTTTTGGTGTATATCTAGTGCTATCTTGAGTGTGGAGGTTAGATCTGAGGTTGCTACCTCAGATCTAGAATAGTGATGATCCAAAAGAGCATAAAGTCCCTGTTCAAGAGTTGTTGATGAAATCTTTTAGCCCCAAACCTTAGCCCAAGAGTGTATTATGCTTAGATCTCCTTGGATTCATGTAAAGTTTGCCACTTTACATGATGGATGGCTTGTATAAGAGTAGATCTATGGATTGGAGACCCTGCATGGCTTGGAAAGCCTCTGTATAGGTTAAGAGCTAGTGGTACTCGGCGAGTCACATGGGTGTACTCGGCGAGTTGCATGAAGATAGGAAGAAACTCGATGAGTTGGAAGAACAACCCGGCGAGTTGGTTGAAGATAGCCTTGGACTCGGCGAGTCTGTTCTTCGACTCGGCGAGTCTGGTCTTCAGGTCCTAACCTTTTCTGCTTAAGCTGAGAATCGGTGAGTCAAGGGATGACTCAGTGAGTTGAGTACGGTTTGAATCAGAGTTGTGGGACTCGGCCAGTCTTGGGGCGACTCGGCAAGTAGAGTCAATCAGGAGGGTTGACTTTGACTGTGGACTTTGACTTTGACCAAGAGTGGACCAGTTGACTTCCAGGGGTATTTTGGTTGTTATTAGTATTTATTGGTTTCAGTGATTCAGTGGTGGAGTTCGTGACAGTGGTCAGAGCAGCATGATCTTGTTCTTCAGTCAGCAGTAGCAGGTGAGTCTTCTCACTATACGTTACCTAGAGTGGTAATAGAGTTATGTGACAGAGTTATTGTATGTTATCTATGCTATGTGTGGCACTGCATTATTTCTATGTGATTTAAGATGTGTGTATATCAGAGTTAGGACCGGAAGGTCCACAGAGCTAGGACCAGAGGATCTACAAAGTTAGGTTTAGAGTTATGTGCCAGTGTAATTGTATGCTATTTATTTTTTGAGATTTATTGTGATATGTGATATGCAAGATTCTAAGTTATCAGAGTTAGGACCTTTGGGTCCATAGAGTTAGGACCAGAGGGTCCACAGAGAGTTGGGACTGGAGGGTCCCACTAAGACATACATACCAGAGGATCAACAGAGTTATAGCCTTGAGTGGCTAATGTGTTAGAGTGGTATTTTGGGGAACTTACTAAGCTTAGTGCTTACAGTGTTTTGTGTTATGTGTTTCAGGCTTCTCAGGTTCACGGGACGGTACCAGCTCGATTGTACACACTGGGGGAAGCGTTTGTTTGATGATCCTGATTTATTAATTGATTGAACAAAAGAGTTATGTATTGTAAATTAAACAAATGGGATTTTTATGAAAAACATCAAAGAGATAAACTATTTCAATTTAAAAAAAAAAAAAAAAAAAAAAAAGAAAAAAGAAAAAAAAAAGTTTGAAAAATTACGGTGTTACATATTTAATAACCAAATTAGTAAATAATTAATCAGTTAGAGCTAAATTTTGTAAGGTATGACTCTATATCATTTAACAATATATTTATCTTTGTGTGTTGGACTTGTGTGTATGTGTGTTTCTCTTCATATTGGTAGTATGGTTTGTAGAAATCAAAAGCCTGGAAATCATGTCGGTTATTGTTTCCAAAATTCAAGTAAAAGGTTAAGTGGAATCAATAGGTTATGATTTTTTTTGTATTATTTCTTGAATTTTATATGAAAGAGAGATCTTTTGGGTGTAGGTGTGAGTGTGGGTGTGGATCTCATATTTTTTATTTAATAAAACTTAAAACTAAAAGGAAAAAAATATATATTGAAAGAGAAAAATAGCCTTTCAAGTTGATGAGTAACCGGAACAACAACAAATGTCCTAGTTAGGGGACCAAATCTACAGGTTGAAAAGGTTTTGGACAAAATCCAAGAAAAATTGCAAACCATGGGACTGATTTTACAATTTTCTAAAAAATATATAAAAAGTGTAGTAAGGCAAAGTAGTATTGTTTTAACCGAAGTCGAAACAAAAGAGTACAAGGACTCTCAAAGTGGAAAAACAAAAAATTGTGATGAAACATTTTTACCGAATGACAAGCATGATTTTATTAATTAAATCTATATCTCTATCAGTTTAATATTTAAAACCTAATCCGTCGAAAATTTGTCAAAAAAAATATATTTTTTATTTATATTATTTTCTCTAGCACTGATATATTACATATTTATCATCATACATGATCATGTTCCATTCCTCTATATTCATACGCATAAATCAAAACATTATCGTAAACTCTGAAATGAATTAAAATATGTGCACGTACGAACATTCATAACTCATCTTCTGCTAATCGGAAACCAACGCTCATGAAAAGAAGATTGGTGAGACACCATATAAATAAGGAAAACAAGCACAATGGCTACACCCCATGGAGACCCTCCAGCTCGATGAAATGAATCTTTCTCAGGCAAAGGCACTAAGGACGGGAACCATGGCCTTTCACCACTAGATAGCCAGTGAACAAGAAGCAAAAGCACGACAGGAGTGAGCATGAGGAAGATCTTCAAGTTGTACAAGAAGCTCTCAACCTTTGGCTCATAGTTGAGGTACCAAGTGAAGCATAAGAAGAGGAAAACAACACAAAGGAAGAAGAAAAAGTGGATTGGGATAGAAAGTTGTCGGATGTACTCATAGTAGGATACCTTATTATCGTTGTTGTAGTACCTAGCCATGTTTCGGAGGATTTTTGCTTTGAAAATGAAAGACAGTGTGTGTTTATGTATCAGGTAGGAATGTTTATTGAGAGATTGAGGAGGAAATGAGATTGTGTATTTATAGGTAAACATAGCATTATAAAACAATCATATTTGTCTACAAAAAATTTGAATATATTATGTGGTTTTGCTTGGCATTGGGAAAGTAGAGACCTTTATTTTGGTTAAAGGGAATCCATTTATCAAGAAGGAGTTGTAGGGCTTTCGAGCCTTTGAGTCTTTCATATTCTTTACGAAATTGTTGTTAACCAACAACAGAACGCCACGTAACACCGACCATGGACACGAATCTTGGGGAATGGTTAAATAAAATGCGATTGTTAACTTGTAAATGGAAAGACTTATATTTATTTACCGAGTTTTAATATAGAAAAAAAAATAAAAATAAAATAAAAAAGAGACAGAGAGGTTAAAAGAAAAAAGAGAAAAAGAAAATTATATTTTGGAATGGATTATATTTATTTACCGAGTTATAATAACGAAAAAAAGAAAAAAAATTAAATAAAAAGAAAAAAATAAATAAAAATGAAAGAAACTTATATTTTGTAATTGAGAAAAGACAAAATTGCCAAAATGGTCCCTGTGATATTCATTTTTTTGGAGTTTTGTTCAAATCCCGATTTTTTTGAATTAGTAGTCTTTTAAGCTAGTTTCCTTACGTTTTTGATCCCTCTAAATAAGGAAATGACTGTAATTCCTTTAGGGTATTTATTTTCCATTTTTCTTTTAACTCTCTTTAAATCTAATAACAATATATTTATTTTAATAATTAAAAAAATAAGAAAGGACTCACATTCTCTCTCTCTCCGCATCTTCCACCCCGCTACTCTTCACTGTTTAGGTTCATAGCATCTTCTTTCTCTTTCAAATTCATCTTTTTCGGAATCCAAATGGGGTTTTCTTCGATGCATATGTTGTAGAAAATGGATGGAATCCCCAAATCTCTTAGGGAACAAAACTCGATGTGGGTATCCCTTCCCCCATTTCATTTTCAGGAACGCCATTTGCAATCCTGAATACAGAAAAAAAAAAATACAGAGTATAAATGAAACGAGGATATCATAAAGTAGATTCAATGTGATACATACGTGAAGTTAGCAACGGGAAATCCAACGAAGAACGCATTGCCTCTCAACTCGTTTCGATTTCCATTAGTCTCCGAGGATTTCCATTAAACCTCAATCACCCATAAATATACTTTGATTCAATCTCCTTGTTTTTAAACCACACTTTTGCTTATCCTACAGGGCGTTGGAGGAAGCAGGAAAAGCATGAGGCAAGGCGTTGTCAGGAAGAACGCTGCATAAATCTTGCCCGCCAACTGTTCGACCAAATGTATGTGTTTCTGATTGAGTTATGATCGACCAAAGGGAAGGGGCTGTGAAGATCGACCGAAGGAAATAGAGAGGTCTCTTGGTGGTTACTTCCTTGTCTGATTAGAAGATAACACAAAGGGAGGGAGAGGGTGGAGCAAATCGGAGGCAACACAGCAGGTAGTGGATGGAGACAATGGGGCTATTGCCTTCGATCCATGGTGATAGCGGGGGGCATGGGGTTGATTGGGGTGGTTTTGTGAGGCAGATCGTGAAGAAAGGGGAGGGATTCGTCGAGACCGGTGCTCCTTTGTTGGTCGAATCTCGTCACCGGCTCTCACGAATCTACTGAGCAAAGCAGCTGCAATTGGTGGTTGGGCAGTGGTTGAAGCAGGAAGAACGTCCATTGTTGCTTTGGCTGCGATCAAGAAGGGGCAGGGGAGAGAGAGAGATGTGGGCCCCATAATTTTTATTAATCAAACTTTAAATTAAATAGCAAAACCATAAAAACATATTAGAAGGGCATTTTAGTCTTTTTAGTTTTCTGAAGGACAAAAAACGCAACGAAATTAGTTTAAAAGGACCACCAATTCAAAAAAATCGTGGTTTTGATAAAAATCCCGAAAAAATGCATACCACAGGGACCATTTTTGCAATTTTATCTTAAGAAAATTACTAAACTAACCAAAAACTTTAATAATTGGCTACTCTTTTTTTTCAAAACCCATCACCCTATAATATGTATATGTTTATTTTTTTTAGATTGCCTCATTTGACATACTTGTTTCTTTGAGACAACTACTACTTTCTCTCAATGGAGGCACCAAAGAACAACGAGTTATGTGTTGTTATTGGCTGGAATTTACCATATTATTGATTAGGAGTAGTTTTATTTTTTTTCCAAAAAAAAAAAAGTAAAAAAATGAAACCATAGGCTTCATACGAAACATGCGGTGTAAAGCCTACAATGCATAGACTGTGTATTGTATACTTATACACCGTAGGTTTCTCCCCAAAACCGTAGGTGTCTCCTTGAAATCGTATTTTTTTTACCTACGGTTAGGAAGATCGTAGGCCATCGAGAGCATAATGTAGTTTTCTAAATGTAGTTTTCTAAAATCCTACGGTTTTGATTTCCAAATCTGAAAAAAAAAATGTTTAAAATGAAACCATAGGTGAAAAGGCAAAAGAATGGACAACCCTAATTGGCTTTGGTTTGGTAGCTATTTTGGGACAGTTGTTAATTTTTTTACCAAAAATGGATAATTAATTAATGTTTTTGGCTCGTTATAATTTGCTCTTTGTATTTTTGTTATAAAGAGAATTACAAGTAAAAGTAAATATTTTATTATTTAAGTTCTTTCAAACTAGAAGAAAAAATAGAAATGAACGTTTTCTTTTCATTTCCTTTGGTTTTCTTTTCATTTCCTTTCATTTTCTTCGTTTAGTGCTACTTTCATTTCTTCTCACTTTCTTTCCTTTTCTTTCTTTTGATGTTTTTTATTCATTTAAAATTGTGTTTAACCAGTGAAATGAGATTAGTTTTCACTTTGAAACCATTAGATTCAATATTCAATGTGTTAAAATATTATATTCATTTCACTTTATACAATATAGGACAAAAATCTAAGTTAACATTTTGTTTTCGTTTTTTATTTATTTTAAAAAGTTAAACAAATATTTTTTTTGTTAGATAAAGTTATCGGGTATGCTCACCACTAACCACTAATGTGGTGGATATCACGGTTAAGAAAATAGATTTTGGCGTGAATAGCCCTGAGGGGTATAATCTCATTATATAGAAACACTTCACAAGTAACAAGATAAACAATCAGATCCTAAAACTTTGGATCTAATCTTTACAACAATGTTATATAAACATTTAAATATGAGACTTATCTATTATCCATTTTACATTCCCCTTCAATCTTAACTACAGCAAGGTTAAGATTGTTACATAAACATTCCAACATATTCCTTGTAGTTGGCTTTTGTGAGACCATCTGCTAATCGATCATTAGATGATATAAATCATACATCCAAATTGCCACCTTTTCTCTAACAAAATGAAAATCAACTTCTATGTGTTTTGCCCTAACATGAAACATCGGATTTGTTGTTAAATACGTGGCTCCCAAATTATCACACCACATAATGGGTGCTCTTGTTTGAACAACTCCCAACTCCTTAAGTAATGTTTGTATCCAAGTTGCTTCAACTGTACCATTTGCTAGTGGAGGTGACACATGTCTATTACTTTGGATAGCGGATGAGGAAGAAATAGATGGTGAATTTAATGTAGGAGATGGCAACGGAGTGATAGCTGACATACTATCAGTTGGTGTTTCAGGCTCCGGAGAAACTGAAGTTGAACTGGCTAGTTCTGATTTTCTGTGCTCAGGTAATGGTGACTGTGAGTTGTCATATGTGGTAGGCATGGGTACCATAGGAAGCGATGATGTCACTTCTAGATGATATGGTACTGCAACTGCATGAGAATCATTATCATATAACAGTGATAAGTCACAGTTTCTCATATGATCATTAATAATTGTCGGTTCTTTTTGAGGATATGAGACCTAGGTAGAGTGATTAGATGGAGATGATGAGCAATTAGTATTAGCTAAAGGAAATTACGACCTATCAAAAAAAATATCGCGAGAGATATAGATACGAATCGTAGTTCTATCCAAGCACTTATACCCTTTATGGAGTGAACTATATCCCAGAAAAACACGTTGCTTGGATCGAAAATTAAGTTTTCGATTATTGTACTTCCTAAGACTCGACCAACAAGCACACCCAAACACGCGAAGAAAAGAATAGTCAGGTTCGATTTTAAGAAGACGTGTGATAGGTGTAAGGTTGTTAAGATTTCTATTGGGCATACGATTGATAAGGTTACATGCAATTAAGAAAGATACATCCCAAAATCTAATAGGAAGTGAAGAGTGTGCAAGTAGTGATAACCCAGTTTCAACAATATGACGATGCTTGCGGTTAGCCACACCATTTTGAGAGGAAGTATGTGGGCTTTAGACACGATGAGCAATTCCAGAAATTTTAAAATAGTTATGGTGTTTTTTGTATTCACCACCCCAATCAGATTCTATACATTTTATTTTGGCATTTAATAGGCGTTCCACATGAGTTTGAAAAGTATAAAACACTTGGTCAACATCTTATTTATTTTTAATAAGATAGATCAAAGTAAAACGGTTGTAATCATCCAAAAAACTGACACAATATCTAAAACCTCCACTAGACGTCTGAGCTGGTCCCAAAACATCAGTATGAACCAGCTCAAGAGGAGATGAAGTGACACGACCTGAAATATGATAAAATAATTGGTGACTCATAGCCCATTAGCAAGCATCACAAACAAATGAATCTCAAGAAAAAGAATAACCTATTCTATTCAACTTCAAAATAGACTTGACTACTATGGAATTCTGATGACCAAAACTCCCATGTCATTGAGATGATGAGACTTTGACACTGGAAAAAGATTAATGGTGAGTACGATTGATAAGTACTGGATAGAGTCCCCCTTTAGTTCTACCGAGCAGGATTGTTTTCTTCATGGCAATGTCCTTAACAAAAAATACATTGGGATAGAGTTCAATAAACACATTGTTATCTGTGACAAGTCTGAGCAGATAAAAGTTTTTTGGTAATATGAGGCACATGAAGAACGTTCTTGAGAACAAGGGATCTATCAATATCGGGAATTAATGAAAGATCAATATGAGAAATAGAAAAACCTGATCCATTTGCCACCTGAACTTGATCCTTCCCAGTGTTAGTCGATCCAAATCATTAGTAAGATCATTTGTCGCTCCACATTCCATAAACAAGCCACTATCAGGATGATAGCCTCCTAGAGTCACACTATTTCCACTGCGAAAATCATCAACATGGTAAGAGTGATTGAACCTCTTTCTACAAGTTAAAGTTATATGACCTTGTATTCCACAAACTTGACACCGTGGCCCACCATTGTTTCTTCCACGACCACGACCACGTCTTCTGCCATCAATGCCTCTATAGTTTCCTCTGTGATAGTTGTTGGATGCGTGATATCCTCCGCTATTATTGTTGTTATTGTTGTTAAATTTGCAACATGGTGCACTTGGTTCTAGGCGAGTCACACTTTTTGCTGATGAAGTGAACTCGAATGTATTTCCCACAACTTTAGATTGGGCTTCACGAGCAACCAAGTAAGAGTAGAACTCAGGCAATGTTACCTTTCGTTCGTCGCTTAGAATTGTAATGGTTGTGAAGATCTCACTATGATCGGGACCTAATCCGGCCAAAATGTACCCGATTACTTCGTCATCATTCATGGGTAGTCCAATATTTACCATTGTATCGGCAAACCCTGCCATCTTCTAATAGTAATCAACTATACTCATGTCTCCCTTCTTGGTAGTTAACAATTGTGTTCGTATTAGGATCGAGTTGCCTCGATGTTGGGTGGAAAACATAGTGTGAAGAGTGGTCCACAATTCATGAGCAGTGTTGTTATTTTCAATTAATTGAGGGAGAACCTCTTCAGTCATGGAGGATAACAGTCCTTTAATTACCGCCTGATCTTGAATCATCCAGGTTTGATACTCTAGATTGGCTGTTTTCTTGATCAGAGATGGAGATTCTTAATCAGCAGCCCTAGTTTCACTAGCGATTGTGGCCTCTGGTGTCGGTGTCGTCCCATCGAGGTGCCCAAAGAGTTGCACTCCTCGAAGAATATGGATAACCTGAGCTTCCACAATAAGAAATTTATGCGTGTCAATTTGCACAATATGGCAGTAGCTATGGTGGAGGATTTAACTGTGTAGTCACTGTAGAGATGCTCGTTGAAAGAAGAACAAGGAGCAGGAAGGGGATTTTAGGTTTTAGGAAGGGATCATGGCTCTGATACCAAGTTAAGAAAATAGATTTTGGTGTGAATAGCCCTAAGGGGTATAATCTCATTATATAGAAACACTTTACAAGTAACAAGATAAACAATCAGATCCTCAAACTATGGACCTATCTTTACAGCAATTCTATCTAAACATTTAAATATGAGACTTATCTATTATCCGTTTTTACAGTCACATCATTACCACAACCAACCACTAAAACTATTGGGTGTCGGCAACATGTTAAGACATGTTATCACATCTAAAAGTTATCACCTCAAATTAGGGATGAGTGGTTAATATCAAATCTCGATCGTGTACCAATACAATACCGTAACTGGTACCAAACCGTACCAAATTTAAAAATATGGACGGTACTTGGTACTCCAAAGTCACGAAATTTGGGATTCAGTACTGCTACTGGTACCGAAAACCAGTACTAATCTAGGTACCGATATCGGTAATGTTAATTTGGTTCGGTATTCGGAATTGAATTTCGATGAAATTCAGTTTTCAGGAAATCGAGAATGGTACTGGTTACCTCCCACGCTCATCCCTAC